AAACGGTGTAAACGCTTTTTTAACGCGTTTAAACGCCTTTCTGGCCGTTTATTGTCTGCCTGGGGTTTAGGAGCCGATTTCAGAAACTCTTTGAGGTTTTTTCAACTTGGGAATACCCAGGTCGAAATAGCTATGTCGGATCCTGTCGGATAGGTTTCAAATCCGTTGAGATACGGCTAATCGGATTCGGTCGGTTACTTTTTGTCGGATTCCGATGCTATCCACTGTTTTCCTTTGATATCCGCCGGTCGGATTCATCAAGTTCCTACTAGATTCATATATTCGGAACTGGTCGGATCCGACCTCAAGATCTGTTCGCTTCCGATGGGATTCCGGGGAATCTGATGTCAAGAAATCGCCGGATTTTGCGGTTTCAAGTGACACCGGATTCCATGATAAAATCGATCAATCACTGGTATTGGAACTTGTCGGATTATATAAGAATGCAGAATACCCAGGCCGATCTCACACCATCGGATCCGATGGAAATTAGTCGGAAGTTGTCGGATGTTGGAAAGTGTCGGATTTTCAGAGTTTCGACAAGATCCCGGCCACTTCCGACACTTTCCGACATCCGACAACTTCCTGTCGGAACCCAAGTGAGCAAAAAATAACGAAAGACGGCGTCCATAACTAGTCCAAAATGTCCGCAACGCCCGTCAAGTCTAGGCTGAAACGTCTTGCACACCCGTCATGACTAGTCACCTTTTGGAGAAATGTCCTTCAAACACGTCTGGACTAGTCCAGAAAGTCCTTGAACCCAGTCATGTCTAGTCAATTTCGTCCTTTGAACCCGTCCAGACTAGTCTGAAGACTAAGAAAAAAGAGGATGAAGATAGATTCGAACATCCAACCCGACAGTATTCAAAACCGGACGGGCATCCTGATGGTAGACTAGGACACTGAGATAGACTGACGTCAATTTATACAGTCTAAGATGCCAAATTGACTCTCGTCCATCCACTAGACAATCAGAAACCAGTCGATGTCACACGACTTTGACTAGTCTGAAACGTATTTCATAGAGTCAAGACTAGTCCGAAGCGTCGTCTGCGCTCGTCATGACTAGTCCTTTTTTAAAGAGTATGTCACCTGTTCTAGTCAGACTAGTCTGAAAACTCTAAACAATCCACTTTTTTTGAATCAAATATATCTTGTTAATTCGTTTAAACTGATCAATAATGAAAGTAAGAAGGCAAGTAGAAAAACTTTTCAATATCTATATCGTTTGTTAAAAATAATCAATGGATAATATCAAATACATTTAATCTATGAACTAGATAGTAGGATAACAATCGTTTTATTGCCTGTCTTGTATTCAAATCTTTCTGGATTGAGGATCAAAATTGATCTATTATATTATGATTACGGTAATTAATAAGAAGCATTTTTTCATATTAAAACTATGTCGCTCGCCAAGATATTATAAATATTTCTCTAGGTAGAATGACAATCAGAGAGTCAGCTATAATCAACAACGAGGTCAAGAATAGATAATATGCTCTGTGCATTCCTGTCTTCATATATCTTATTATATTTTGTATTTTCATATGTTGAAAATATAAGAGCATATCAAAACTAACAAAAAAGTTGGAGTAAGTATAATGAACTATATTCATCTCGTAGCGAGTAATATTAATTTATATTTTTTAATATTATTAGATGTACTATGTTTAAAAAAAACTGAAGAATAATTTAAATTTTTTTATGTCATAATTTTATGTTATCTTATTTTAAATATAAATTCTAATAATTTTAAATTTAAGAATATATTTCAATTAAGCAAAGTTAATTTAATTGTTAGTTGAAGATATGGTAATTTTAATTTAAAACTAAGCCATCATATGAAAAAATCTGGTTTCTTTTGAATATAAATAGCTTTTCTATTTTTACATTTAAAATTTATTTTTTTTAACACAACTAATTATTCCTAGTTAATGATAATCAAAAGATATTTTTCCAAAAAATATACAAATTTTTTTTTGAATTTGTTTTTTTAATATTGTCCAAATAATGTCATATTTTGTAAAAAATCATTTTTATTTAAATGTGAACATAAAAAACTTTAAGTAAAATTGTATTAAATAGCATCTTAGAATGATTATGACTATGTAAAAGCTAATTTCTTGATCATATGGCTCAATGGTCTAAGCGATGGGTAAGTAATACATTGTACGCATGTTCGAATCTAATCTTCATCCTTACATATTTCCATTTAGACTAGTCCGGACTCGTCCACTACACACAAGACTGCAACTTGTCCTATATACCGTCCCTGACGTCCTTACTTTTTCAGTTTTAAACTCATTTTGGACGGGCGTCGCTGTCGCCAGTCAATCACGTGATTTAGACAGGCTTCATGACAGCCAAAAATCCCGGACTAGTCATGTGCCCGTCGAATTTGAGACAAAGACTAAGCATGACGGGTCGACAGTACTGGAAAAAAGACTAGTCATTTACCCCGTCTTTTGCTCACTTGGGAATCCGATACCAATGATTCCGACGAATTGCCATCGGATTCGATAAAATTCGATAATTTTTCCGATAAGATCCGACGAGATCCGACTGTCGGATTGCTCGTTCTGGGTATCCAGTATTATTTTCCACGTAGTCGGATTCATGAATTAGAATATATTCTGACGGATCAATGAGCTAATCAATTAATTAGATATTCCTCTTTTTACAAATTTCCAACAGCAAAATCAAAAATCTGGAAATCTGATTTCGTCCAGATTTCATTCACCGTTTTGTTTTACAGGTATCGATCTATATAAGGAAGTCTCTACTTTAATATTTTGAATAAATTTCCAAAGTGTTGCTTAGATTAATTTTACTTCAAATGATTTATTTCCTTATACAATTATGTTTTCCACGCAATTGGATTCATGAATTAGAATATATTCTGACAGATCAATCAACTAATTAATTAATTTATTAAATATTCCTATTTTTACAAAATTCCAACAACAAAATCAAAAATCTGGAAATCCGATTTTGTCCAGATTTCATTCACCGTTTTGTTTTACAGGTATCGATCTATATAAGGAACTCTCTACTTTTATATATCAAGTGAATTCTGCCATTTTGTATAACTAAGTTCTATATATTAGGAACAATCTTAGTACAAGCATTGTTCAATTTTAATAAGGATCGTAGTATATACATTGTTAGATTCTAGGAATAATCCCAGTTGAAACAGTTGAAATCCTTTAGACTGTTGATGACATCCTGATGCAATCCTTAGAAATTTTGATAACATCCTGGTGAAATCTGTTCAAAATGTCGATTCAATCTTTGGAAAATCTTTCGAATTCTTGATGAAATCCTTGGGAAATCTTCGTGAAATCTTCAGAAATCTCGACGAAATCCTTGAGAAATTTTTATAAATCTTGATGAAATTCTTAGGAAATCTTCATAAATCTGGATGAAATCCTGGACAAGCATTTAGAAATCTTGATGAAATCCTTGGGAAATCTTCAGAAATCTCGATGAAATGCTGGGGAAATCTTTAGAAGTCTCGATGAGAAATCCTTGAGAAATCTTTAGAAATCTTGAGGAAAATTGGATGAAATTGTCAGAAATCTCTAGTAAATCTTTGGAAATTTTGAGAATGCTAGAATGAAATCTGTGTGAAATGTTGATTGAATCCTTGTGCAATCGAAACAGATTCAGCCAACTTCTGATGAAATCCGACTGTATTCTGTCGGAGCCTTACGTTATCAGGCGTTTCTCTGTGAAAGGATCCTGGTGGTTACGGCATTATCTGACAAACAGTTCCGACAGGATCCGATCGGATCCTTTCCGACGTAATCCGGTCCGGAATCCGTTAGTTAGGAATCCTGTGAAATACGGTTGAGTTCCGATCGGATTTAGTTGGGAACCCGACGAATTCTGGTGTGATCCGACATCGAATCCGATAGTTTTCGGTAGGATCTACAGGTCGGATTGAATCACCTGGGTAGGTTTTCGACCTTTGGAAACCCTTCGGGAGTTACTGATAGTTTCAATCTGGGAAACTTTGAACGGTTTCCGAAGTGGAATCGGAAACCCTTTTTTTATTTCTGCTGATACGAATATTTTTCGAGTGTGGAATCCTCGACCTAGATAACTTACTCTTTTGGTTTCGAAAATATTCTAGGCTATGGTGATACTTTGAGGCTATTGGTTCCTTATACTCTAAAAAAATAGTTTTTCTTATCAAACGCTGCAAAAAAAAGTTTTGGAGATGTCAAAAGGCGACCAAATACGTCCAAAGGCTGAAAAAACAATACGTTAGGTTTACAAAATCTTTACCGGTTCTTCCCGGGTGTCTGCAGAAAGAATCTTCTCCTGCAATACATTCTTTTAAAGTTCCACACAGCACAAAACAGTTTCATAGGACAAAACGAAACCTTTAGCGTTTCGTAAGATTTCTAGTAAGAAATGATTTGAATTTAAAATGTAAGTGTACGGTTTCGTTTTTTTCTACGAAACCTTTCTTCAGCGTTCAGTAAAAACCTTTTTGTTTTAGAATATAGAGAAAATTACTCACAGGTACTATATCAATGACAGTAAAACATACCTGCGTACTCTGTTTCAGATTCCTAATATACAAACTGTAAATGTTAGGCACTAAACAGGGATTTTTCTTTTTACAAATACCACCAAAGTTATGCAACATGGTGAATCGCTCGCAAACTTGTTGAAGAACAAACACTGTCATTATTTCTGTATTTGATTTCAAAAAATGAATAAGTAACACTTACTCTTGTTTTTATTCGCTGCAACTGTTAAATTTGAACAATTCAAATGCTCTTGATTAATAGGCAACAATCTGTCGAACTTGAATGTGTCGTTCTTTGCTGCGAAATGAGGACACGAGTGAATAACAGTTAGTCGATTTTTTTTTGAATGCAGTGTTATTTTTTGGCTTGCTCGAAAATATTAATTACATTCCTCTTTACCTGTAACATGCATGAATGATTTTATCGCTGCTTTTTCTCTTTCCAATATTAATTAGAATGATAAATGATTATTATCGACCATCATTACTTATAATTGACAGGTTAGTATCGGTCATCTCTCGAATCATTCAAGCGGGGAAAGTTGGAAAAAACCAATATGAGGCTGCAGGTGTAGGGTG